AGCTTTCTTGTTTTTGACATCCCTCCATCAAAAGCCTTATAAAATCAAATACTTAAAAGTAATTTAAAAAGTTCACTTTCTACTTGGGGATTAATTTTAAATAAATTGTCTCATACCAGCTGTTTCAGTAACCTTTTCCAAGTAGTACCCAATTGGGTTATTAGCACATACTCTTTAAAGAACAATTTTCAAATGAACAATTTTCAAATGAGCAGAAAAAACAAAGATAGTTATTTAGAATTCTTTGAATTAATACTTTTAAGTGGTCCTGATGATACAGTTCATTAAATTAAAATATTGGTATATTCTAAACCTATTAAACATTAATTCTCTCCTGATGGCTTTATTGGTAAATGCAGTTACTATTAAAGTACTAACCCATGCATCCCATAAAGCTGCAGGTCTGATAAGTTGATGTTAACCAGACACAAGTTGAGGTGGTACAATTTGGTGTTGCTGATTTGGGAAGGGGCAAGTGATCCAGGCCTGCTACTCGTGGCTATCCTTTGCTAGATAGCATGTGTGCATGTGCGGACGTTGGATGATGAGATTAGACTCGAGTGTGATGTTCTCCAGGGGCATCTAATCTGCTGACTCATTGTCAAGGTTTACACTTGAAGAATTACTTGGATGAAGTACTGGAGGTAGACCAGCATGTAAAAGTGTACTTTGACAGAAGGAGAAACAATGAAATGCCTTCAGGAAAGGAAGAGGGCATGGAAAAAAATTGTCAGCAAAACAAAAAGCAGTGTGGTTGTGTGTAAACACAGCTGTATTATGAGCAATGTATAAATGTGTATAGATAAAGTTACAGGCACCCATGTAATTTACAAACTCTGAAAGGAGCTATGAGTGATGGAATCAACCAATCATTGTCATTGTGGTTAATCCTATAATTAAGGACACTTGTAAATGTCCCTCCCCATGCCCATCAGTTCCCAACCCCAGCTCTAGTCCAAACCAGGACTGTCAAGTTCCTTATGACAACCTCCCAGTATGAAAAGGGTTATATAAATGTAAATTTGTACTGTATTCCTTCTTGACACAGGTATTTACACGTGGTCTCTAATTAGCTCCATGTTAGGACTTTAAATTCTCATAGCCTAGGCTGACACTCCAATGTAGTGGTGCAAATTGTCAGATTGTGATCTTGTTGGGTGCTATCCTTCAGTTGAGATGTTAAACCGAGATCCCATCTGCCTGTCCAGGTGGACGTTAAAGATCCCATGACACTATTTGAAAGAGAAGGGAATTTCTCCTGGTGTCCTAGCCAACAATCTCCCCAAATAAAATTGATCACTCACTTCACGGCTGTTTGTGGGACATTACTGTAGATTAGCTGCTGCATTCGCCCACAAAATACACAGTCAACACCAGTTTACAGTATACCCTGTGAAGCTTTTGAGACATCCTTCCAATGTGAATGGCACTATTTTAAATGCAAGTTTTTTTAAATACACTTATTTTTCTACATAGGTTGCAAATGGAGCATTAAACCCTATTGTTTCTGAACCAACTTGGGTTTAATAACAACTAATGCTGTATGGAATATTTAGTGGTGATTTGCAGCAATTTTGGTAATGATTCACCACCAAATATGCAGTACTAGCTGTACCCGCTTGTTTAGGTCATAGCTCATCAACGAAAGGAAATACCCACTAAAATATATACAATGACACTCCCCCATGCAAGACCTTTCCGATGAGGTATAAATCATATCTCTACATAGATCGGTTATTGAGGCCTTGACACAAACACACAAACAGTCATTATGTCTTTATTAGTAAAGAAGATAAATAGTATAGATAGAAGAAGAACAGGAGCTCCGATCGCAATAAAGTGCAATTACCGACACTACCTAATCACTTTTCATTGCTTTAGATTGAGAGTAGGGCCTCGAGGGTAATTCATTACATAACAATTGTTTGGATGCAATATCTCAAACCCCTGCATTAACACTGAATATGAAAAATGTCTGATAGCTGGATTGTCCGGATGCTGTTGATGTCACTTTACGCAGCTATGAGCAAGATACACTTCCTTTGTAAAGTGATGTCAGCAGCAACAACAGCAGCAACAAAATTAGAGCCTTTCATGTTGGGAGGACAACCTAGGGCCCTAAGACAGAGCGGAGGTGAGGGCGGAGTGGTAGGATTTGGTATAGTCCAGCCAGATCTGCCGATGGACCCTTAAGTTCGATTTAAGCCAAGTGCGCTCAGCGCCACGCACCTTTGCTTAAAGGGAGCGGAGGTGGCTGGTATGCCATGGTGACTTACGTGAATAGGGGACCGTTCAGGAAGAGAGGGAAGCAAGGGAATTAAGAGTGGAGGAGAGGGAGCTGTGGAGAATAGTGACCGAGGAGGATAGGTCATTGCGGGAGGAAGCCCAGAGGGCAAGGAGGTCAGATGACTCCAAGGCAGCCGAGAAGGAGGGGGGGGAAGATTTTTTTCCAAGCTTAGGATGAGAAGGCATTCAGAGCAGAGGGAGAGGGAAGATAGGAAGGTGGAGATGTGGGGGAGGGCTTGGGGGCAATAGATAAGGAGAATTTTGAAGGAAAGGTTGGAGGGGTGATAAAGGGTAAGGTTCCAGATGAGTAGGGATAGGCCGATTGGGGACCGGGAGGTGAGAGCCATCCTGCCACCATGATGGTTAGGTCGTGGGGTATGATGGAAGGTGTAGCCGGGTGGTTGGCCTGGAGTGATCCCGGTTTCAGTGAGGGCGAGAATGTCGATGTTTTCATCAATGATGAGGTCTTGGATGGTAAGTGTTTTGTGGGAGAGGGAGCGGACATTTTGTAGGCTGATGCGGAGTGGACAGTTGGTGGCGGAATGTGGGGGCAAGGGGAGGAAGGGGAAGAACTGATGGGGAGGATGGGGATTTAGATGAGGGTTGGCCCCAGTGGTCAGGGACTGATGGGCCTTGCGGTGAGAATGGTGGATAGGGCAGTCAGAGTGACTGCTGTTGGACAGCCAGTGGCATCTCCCACGGTGAGCCCGACAGAGGATTCGCAGGCTGGAGCAGAGGGAGACAGTGGGATGGTCGAGCAGGGATAGGAGTCAGGGAGTGCGGTGGGAGAGGAGGACCGAGTGGGAGTAATGGAGGGTAGAGGACAGGTGGGAGCAGCTTTTACCATGCATTACACAGCATCCAGGAAGTGAAGGTGGCCACCTGCATTTGGCCATTTTATAGCACAGGAAGCAAGCCACTCTGCTGCAGAAGCCAGAAGTGAAGCACTTAATAACAGGGTTACTCTTTATGTGGATTGGTCTATTCAAGGAGACAGTGGACCACCTTGTCAAATTCAGGAGGGTATTAGATAATAATAATCCTTGCAATTGGTGTACCGCCTAGGCATGCCAGGAGGATGTCCTAAAATGTTTTATAGGATTTACTGTGAAATGGAGCAACTGTAGGCGAGTGCAGCAATCCATTTGCACAATATCCCACATACAAACATGGAACGAGTGACCATCTATTTGGGGGATTGTTGCCCAGGACCCCAGGAGAAACTCCCTTCTCTTTTCGAGTAGTGCCATGGGATCTTTAACATCCACCTGAATAGGAAGATGAGAGCTTAGTGTAATGTCTCATCCGATGGACGGCACCTTTGACAATGTAACAAACCCCCCAACATTTAGCCAACAATCTGTAGTAATATTTGGTAAAGGGAACTGCTTGTTGCAGGTTGTCGGTGACATTAACTGTGACCATTTTAAGATTTGAATCCTATGTTAATGCTGTAGAATAACTTTCTTTTAGGTGTTGCAGTTAAAGTACATTTTACCATCAATTTTTGATCGATACATTAACTTTATTGTGTAGAACCTAAGATTCGTAATATTATAGTACCTAAGGTTCAGGTTTTAGGATGAAAACAAGGACAGGTAAATAACTGGTTCACCAGAGAAGTCCTTTATAGAGCAGAAAGGCAAAACCATATGAACAATGAACATTGCTGATGTGAAAACTGCTTAAAGGTGCTCTATTCCTATAATTTGCTCCAATAGAATGTGGAAAATACTTCAGTTGGAAGAATGAAATGTATTTAATATGTATTACAAGTGCTGTGAGTATCACATACAGTAGACATTAGTTTGTATCCTTCTAAGTTGTATAATTTGCTATATTAGGAATTTGTAGGTTTATAAAACTTTTGAAAGCTTGTTAGGGGAATTATTCTTTGTTGAAGCATTAGCACCTGTGGCATCTGACTTGAGTTTTTGTTTCACAACAGTTGAAAACATTGACAGGCAATGAGAGTACAATATTCTGCATTTTATCAGTGATCTACGTTTTGATAGATCAACCATGTCGAAAGATTAGATATACTGCAACTTGCTGAGAGCCAACATTAAATTTCCCAGCAATAATATTTGCTTAGTTGCTTATTCCCCCACGGTCCTTTCTCCTTAGGAATGTAGTTGTTAACCAAATAGGCTTGAGTTGGTCTGGGTTTTTTTTTTGCCCCCTCTCCCAAAGTAGAAGTGCCTCACCTTCTGTTTGAATAATTGGGAACCATAGATCTAAAAATCTTTCTGGATTCAGCTTTTTTTCAGTTTTATTTTTCTTGGAGTTATTGTGATTTATAAAACTGATCGCTTTCTGACAAAAATAGCTAACTGATCTTGTTATGTAGATGTGCGTCTGTGCAAACAGCAACAAATTGCACTATATAGCGCCTTTCCCATTGGGAGGACATAAACTATATAATTTACATTCCCTTAGTGTATAGCACTTTATGTGGTGGAAGTTATATTTTCTTTAAGGGAATAGATAATAAAAATTGGTTGGTTTTGAAAACTTTCTTTGAAATCTATCTGCTTTAGTTCAAAATGAGAATAATTGTATTTGAACCAACCACATTGATATTTACAGCACTGATTCAATATTTCTAAATCAGGCAAACTTTGTATTCCTTTTTATTGTAATGTTTAAAATATAGTGAATGTAGTGAGTTTGTGAAAACTAACATCTTTTCTTCTTCCTATCTCCCATTGTAGTTGCACAACAAGATGTTCAAACCATGAAAGGCATCTGTCGATTACGTACTACAGCTACCCCTGGAGGACCCAAGATTTTTGGACGACATGCTGATGTTCTCAATATGTCATATTCATCCTTTTCTTCAGCTGATCATTTTACCAGTATATCGAGGCAGTCCTTGAAATTGCAAAAGGTCAGACAAAAGCTGGACTCCGTTTTGGTATGTATCATTAGTACAAGTTACATATAGTCAGTACAGAACATTTTCTTGAACCTTTGCCAGTAAAGTATATATGATATCACTGAATAGTGTAAGTATAAGAGAACATATACAATTGTCAGTATTTGACAGGATTCTGAGTATTGATATAGAACTGGACATGGGTGCAATCCAACTGGGCATCCATCCAATTCTGAGTCCCTCCGACTCCCTGTCTCCCTCCCTCAACTTGTTCAAGATCTCTCTCAAGGCATATCTTTTTGACTGCACTTTTGGACATCCGACAAGCGCAGGTTTAAGCCCTAAATAGGTGGATGGTAGGTATCAGGAACTCCCTGCAAGCTTCCTGGCTGGCAACGCAACTAGGCAATAAATGTTTGAGAGCTTTGCCACCATCTTCCTGTCTGCAACTCGGACACACGGCCCATCCTGTTGAGCGATTCCACCAGTTAGAGGTGTGGAGCTTAAGCAACAACTGCTTACCCCTCTACAAGCCAATCAAGTTGATTGGAGCCTAATTGTATAATAATAATCCTTGCATTTGATATAGTGGAGTCCTGTAGCTCAGTGGTTAGAGCACTCGCTTTGCAAGCGAGAGACCTGAGTTCAATTCCAGGCAGGGCGAAACCTTGGGCAAGTTTCCTTACTCCACACGCCTAATAATAATCCCTCCAAAACCAAAAACAATAATAAATTGGTCATTTTCAATCTACGACTGTTTGTGGGACACTGCTGTGCGCAATTGGCTGCCGCGTTTCACCCACAAAAAATATACAGTCAATTCACTTTACAGTCTATTCTGTGAAGCGCTTTGGGATGTCTAGAAGACGTGAAAAGCACTATGTCAAATGCAAGGATTATTATTATTATAGCACCTTTTCCTGTCGTCGAGATACCTCAAAGCAATTAACAGAATATTCGTGAATTGACTGTATATTTTGTGGGTGAAACCAGGCAGCCAATTGCATATAGTAGTGTCCCACAAACATTTTTTTAAGGAATTATTACCCATGGAAAAGCGATCCGCCAATCAACTAACAAATGGGTTCCTACTTACTGCTAGGTAAACAGAGGTGTGTGGAGTAAGGAAATTTGCCCAACGTTTCTCCCTGCCGGTAATCAAACCTAGGTCTCCTGCTTGAGAGGCGAGTTCTCTAACCACTGAGCTACAGGATAATTATATTACAGTGGTTGAGATCCAGAATATCCCAATCCTTGCTATAATGAAGCGGTTGCACTGTAAATGTGCCCAGCCAGACAGCTCTCTCCTTGCATGGCTGATTTTGCTGTTGAAAAAAATCTGAGTTTCAGGTTATCACGTTATCTCTGCCAACTTCACTTCCTGTTTGCTGCACATGCTGAAGGCCAGCAAATCTGCCTTTTTGTAGCCTTCCTAGTGACCGTGAACATCTCATGCTGCTTTGTCCGCATGTGCAGCAAACTGGACATGATGTCAGTCAATGATCTAGGAGTTAGCCATTTTAGCCCAAAACGAAGTGACCTGCCTACATGTGTATTGAATGAAGTCAATACTACATCAGTGGTGTTACCAGATTCGCGCTTTAAAAGAAAATAAGTATGTTCTAAAAGGCTGGACTATTCTATTAGTTTGGAATGTCTTGTGAATTGCAACTTGCATTTATATATATCACTTTTCATATCAGATATTGTTTCCAAGTGCTTCATAGATATGGTGCCAAACACTGTTGGGGGGTGGTGGGGGGGAAGGTAATGGAGGAAGGTGTGCAAAAATCAATAGCGAGAAACACTGATGGCCTGGTATAGGTTATGAGTAAAATCGGAGATTATGCACTTGTTCCTGGTTTCAATTTTAATGGTAATCCGCAAAAGCCAAAGAAAAAAAATTAGAATTAAATGTTTTTATGTTGAAAGTTTCTGTTTAGTACTTCACGGTAGGATATCTTTACCTGTGCTCCCATTGTCTGTGGCTCCTGTGTGCTGTTCTCTAATTCGCAAGACATCATGTTTTATGGTGAATAGAGATGTGAGAGAAAAGGCTTTAAAATAAATGGATTTTTTTAAGGCATAAACTGTGTTTATAACTCATCCTTACATCAATATAACGTAGCCAGGAAAATATTTTATTTCAGCTCTACTTTAAATGACAAAAATTAACACAATATAGTATTCCAAATACTGTATACATTTTCATATTAAGCTGTTCAAAAAAGCTTGATAGGGGCATAAAGGATTTTCTAATTTAACAATGAAAATGCGTGCAAGAATACCAAAGTTGTGAGTGAGAAAGTGAAGCTAGCCTTTATTGTAGCAAAGTGAACATACAGAATTCAGTGAAAGTTAAATACTTCTTTCAAAACATTATTTTATCCTTTATGTTTTAATGTGTTGAACCAGTGTGCTGTTCAGCTGTTCAACACATTCTGGTTAATTATTTCAAAAGAAACACTATTATACAGTAAGTAGGATTGTTTAATTATTCAACAGTGACATTAATACTAAAGAGAAGGCCATCTTTATTTTTAATATAGTTTGTTCTGAGGCTCTTGACAGCCAGGTGTTCCTGATTTGTGAAGTCTTAGCCCAGGTGCACACACCCTGTGGGTGTAATCCAGGGAATCCTGCCAAGAGAAGCTGTTTTCCATAAAAATTAGCATTGAATTTTCATGAAAAACTCACAATAGAAATTATTGTTAACAAGGCTATGGGGGCAGTGTGTGGATTGATGCTATTAACAGAAATGTGCGTGTTGTGTATGTGTGGGGGTGTCAATTGATATGCAGGTAGATTCTGGTCCTGGATAGATTATACATTGGGTTTAAGACTGCTAGAAATTTAGATCACAGTAATTTTAATGTGTTAATAACTAGGATGCATCTATCCATGTTGAAAAAGGAAATGGATTCATGGTAACATGTTTGAGAAGCTCCGTTCCATTTTTTTTTACAAAAATCATTGTATTCACTCTTTGCCAATTACATTTTAAGGGTAAAACTGTCTGGGCTGTATGGGTGATACACTGCTCCATCTTAAAGGCACAATCCTTCCCCCTTGTTTTTCTTGCTTGTCTTTATTTTTGTCAGAGTAAGTTCCTGGTGCCCAAACTGTGATTTCAAATTAAATTGGAGAATCCTTTGTTGGATATCAGTCCTCTATTTCTGTTGCTATTTAGCCTTTTCCAGAAGTGAAAGTAAGGGTGATACGTACTTGCCCCAACTATGACCAAGTGCTTAATATTTTAAGCGTAATCATCCTACATCCTTCATTTCAATAGCTAACAATAAAACACGTTTAAAGCACAGCCTCCACACTCGGGTTGCATTAACACATATCCGCCATGTAGAAAGAATTGGTCTTCAAATAGTGCATTCAGATGCAGATTTGTTTTTGCAGGAGTCTATGGAGAACATTTCAGAAGGGGATTACTATTTTGCCCAACCAGGTATGTAAGTGTTAATTGACTACTGTAATAAATAATCCTTATATTTGATGTAATACCTTTCATATCACGAGAATGTCTCAAAGTGCTTCACAGTATATACGGCAAAGTGAAGCGATTATTTTATGGGCGAATGCGGCAGCCAATTTGCACACAGCAGTGATCCGTAAATGGTCATAAAGGGAATGGCAGTTACCTCATGTAAGTGTAATCAGATTACTTGTGTTGTGACTAGATAATTCATCTAAAGCTGCTGAAGTGTTTAAAAACAACTCGCATTTCTATAGTGACCTTCACGTAGGTAGATTAATGTGGTGGTGGGCTTTACAAAGAGAGTGTGGGACACCAAGTGGGGTAACTTGAGAGCTTTCTGTCAAAGGTTGACCTGGTCACCCGTTACACTACAAGGCCTCGATTAGCTTGTAAAATTATTTTTTTAAGTACTATGAAAGCTCAAGCTCCAAAAATCAATGCAGAGGAAAAAATTTGTAGTTAAAATAATAAATGTGGGAAAGGGTAAGATAAGTGAGTAAAATAAATGGTTTGAAATGTTTTGATGTGTTTTGTTCTACAGTGTATTTAGAGTAATAAAATCCACCTGTTGTTACCTTACGTAATTTGAAAAAACTGCTTTTTTCCACCTCCGCCGCATTGCCTATCTCCGTCCGTATCTCATACCCACAGCAACCAAAACCCTCATCTACTCCTTTGTCACTTCCCGGCTGGACTTTTCAAATGCCCTCCTCGCTGGTCTCCTCAGTTCCACCATACACAAAATTTAATTAATTCAGAACTCCACTGCCTGGATACTCACCCGTACAAAACTCTGTACCCCCATCACACCTGTCCTTGCCAGGCTGCACTGGTTCCCAATTACCAAACAGATCGACTTCAAGATCCTCTCACTCGTTTTCAAATCCCTTCATGCCCTCGCACCTCCCTACCTATCCGATTTGCTTACCCCCCCACTCCACCACCCGCTGCCTCCGCTCATCCGGCTCCGGCTTCCTGTTCGTCCTTCGTCCCCTCGCTCCACCATCGGCAGCCGTGCTTTCAGCCACTACCCCTGAAGTTTTGGAACTCCCTCCCTCAATCCCTCCACCTTGCCCCCTCCCCACTTTAAAACCCTGCCTAAAGACCTTCCTTTTTGCTCATGCTTACGGTCACCACCCCCTCCCTCTCCCCCTGGCTCGGAGTCAGAGTTCGCCACTGTCAAGCGCTTCAGGATGCACCCAGCATGAAAGGTGCTATATAAATGCAAGTTGTTGTTGTTGACCTAAAGATCTTGAAATTTCTTTGGATTAGCTAGCAGACATGCATTATGTACATCTGCTCAAATTTTGTCTTTGCTTATCTTATTCAATAGGTATGGTTCCTTTCACGGTGTGGGATAAGAAAAGGGATTCCAATTTCACTTCAATGGACGGACAACACTTCAATATTGTAAGTACTAATTTTTTGGGTCAGCTGGGTTTCTTGACTCGTGCAAAATCCCCCACCATGCTTAAGTTTATCCAAACGAAACTGAGAATTATACGTGTGTATACCATGGAAATTTTGTGTGTATGCACAATGGAATGCGCACTCTAACCCTGGAGGGACGTATCCTGCGTACCTAATTCTGGAGAGGTTTGGGGACCCCAGACTGTGTGTTGGGTTACTGCTGTAATTTATCCAGCTAAAAACGCATAGATTGCCATTGAGAGCACTATCTGGCAAACTTCCTGCTGCTTGTCCAGTTCGGACCACCCTACCTGTTAGGGTTTTGACTTGCAGGTTTAACTGTGGAACTGTGGGACAATCCCTGCCCCCAGTATACTGAATAAATACAGATTGCAAGTAATATGAGAAGATGTATTAAGGTATCAAACTTCATTTTAATATGGATTTATGCAAATGTCTATTAGAAGTTGGATTTGCATGCTTTGTGAAATTTTTCATGTTGCTAAATCTGCACCAGATAGGTTGTCATTTGTGTTATTAATCAAGTAATGCATCTCCAGAGTCATCTGATATTAGTGTCCTTTGCTGTAGAATAGCAGAGTTTCCACATCTCTGGAAATTAGTTCAGGAATACAGATGACAAATTTCCCACTTGGGGAGTTCAAAGGCGTGACTGAATGAATGTAATGGTTCCCCAACTTGCATTTCACGTGCAAGATTGTAGTAGGGATGAGAATGCTGTCATGGTTCTTGTAAATGTCACTATTGAGTTCATGAATTTAGTCTCTGATGGTCTGTACAGTCTACAGCAGAGCTTGTGAATTTAGTCTGTGCAGTTTTCTGTCTCTGTAGCTTGCAGCAGAGCTAGTGAATTTAGTCTGTGCTGAACTCAATTTATGCAGTCATCACATTCTAGATGTGTTAATAAATTTAATAGACAGGACAACAATTTCTTCAACTTTGACTTATGCGTTTCAATTTTTTTTAATTTGATTGGTAATTTGTAATTAAATCAACATCTTGCAAGCCTGGGTGGTGGTCAGGTCACTTAATGAACGATGTGTATAATTGTAAATACAGAATAGAATCATAACTTGTTGGACAATAGATCTATGAAAATGTCTCCCTGTAAAAGTAGTTGATCCTGCCAGTTGACAACTGAACTTAAGAATTGATTAATTGTCCAATATATTCCTACAGCCCTTCATTCCCAGACCTCCTCTATATTACCGTTCAGGCCTGACATAGACAGTTGCTTTTCTAGTATAAGAAACTATACTGATTGGGCAGTAATTCCATTGGACAGTGTCTTTCTATGCTGTTTCTTGGTTGAGATTTTGCCTGGGAAATAGACTGAGTGTGTAGTTGAAGTATAATGAGACGGGTTGGTGCTGGATGACAGGTCTGGCCTCCTCGTCCCCCGAGTCCTCCGCTCCACCCACGGCGTCCGTGCCTTCAGCCACTATGCCCCGAGGCTCTGGAACTGCCTTCCTCACTCCCTTCGTCTCGCTCCCTCCCTCCTCATTTTCGGGTCTCTACTGAAGACCTTTCTTTTCGACCGCGCCTTTGGTCACCTTCCTCCCCCTCCCCCTGGCTCGGCCCCGGGATCCGTTACTGTCCAGCGCTCTGAGATGCCGTCCGGCATGGAGGGCGCTATATAAATCCAAGTTGTTGTTGTTGTGTCGATTCCTGTAGCTCAGTGGTTAGAGCACTCGCTTTGCAAGTGAGAGACCTGGGTTCAATTCCAGGCAGAGGGCGAAACCTTGGGCAAGTTTCCTTACTCCACACACCTAATAATAATCCCTCCAAAAGAAAACAATGATAAATTGGTCATTTTCAATCCATGACTGTTTGTGGGACATCGCTGTGCGCAATTGGCTGCCGCGTTCGCCCACAAATATACAGTCAATTCACTTTACAGTATATTCCGTGAAGCGCTTTGGGACGTCTAGAAGACGTGAAAAGCGCTATATCAAATGCAAGGATTATTATTATTATAAAGCCAACTGCTTACTTTCTAGATTGATTCATTTGAGTAATGGACTACTTAGCAATTGATTGTTGTGTTCTGATTGATATGTGGATCCTCTGCAGATTGCACAGTCAGGTCATGGAGCCATTGTAGTAATGTTTATTTATCATTTCAGTAGGAGCCACACCTAGTTTGGGGATTACTCCCATTACAGTTGACAAAAGTAGGGCTAAAGCTAAATAACTCAACCGTAACCAATTTGTAAGAAATTAGATCTATTAGAAAAATTGATATCCCAGAAATTTTTACAGAAATCCGCAAAGAACACCCAACAATCAAATATATTGTGATGCCCTCCTGGCAAATTCCATGCTTCCATTGAGTCCTAATTGCATGTTTCCGCTGTGACAATTGGTAGACTTTGAACTTCACAGAAACATCCACTTGCACAAAGTGAAAAATTATTTTGGTCGGCCGGGTGGGTGTCTTAACAGATGAGGAAACCCATCACCGTGCTAACAGTATCCAAACAAACAGAGTTCGTGCATTCCATCAAATAGAAAATCCCGAGATATTTATTGGTATAGAATGCACTCTCTCTTCCTGGAGGGACACATCCTGCTTACCTAATTCCAGAAAGTATTAGGTGCAGGTTGACAAGAGCTAAGGCTTGGGGACCCAGAGTGTGTGTTGGCTACTGTTGGAGTCTACCCAACTAAACCTGCAAAGCTAGCTGTTGAGAGCACTGACTGCCAAATTTTCCTGACCACCCTACCTGTTAGGGCTTTAGCTTGTAGGGTTAACAGGAACTGAGTGGAAAGAATCCCTGCCCCAGTGAGTGACTGCTCCAGTGTTTGGGGGCAGACAAAGTGAAGGATTGTAGCATCTAGCCCCCAGATTTTAAACCATTATGTAATAGTAATCTGAAAATTAAACTTACATGACTCTTCAAAGGCCTTCCCTGCCAAAATCCGAATTTCCAGGTCTGACCAATATTTAGCAAGCTATTCACTGCTTCGTGGCTCTTTTTGTCCCTGATACATTTTCAGACAATGAAACAGTTGCTAATATGCTGTGCTGTTATCTTCCTCATCATCATGACCTCCTGCCCACATCAAGCATCTGCCCCCAAGGCGAGCCTCCGTTCAGCTCGTAGTCGCTCTGACTCAGCACTTGTGCACGTGAACAGAACAAAGTTTTAAGCACAATGTGGAAGCCGCACTAGTAGCACATCTCACCTCACAGCAACTCCAATATTCGCTTCTGCAGGTAGAGACATTAAAGGAGACATTACTATAATATTTGATATAGTGCCTTATCACGTTGTCAAGACATCTCAAAGCATTTCACAAGATATCATAAACTGGGTATTTTGTGGGGGGATGTTGTTGTCAATTTGTGCAACTCTGGGTTGAATACCCAATTTTATTTGGGGGATTGTTGCCAAGGACACTGGGAGAAACTCCATTCTCTTTTTTGAAAAGTGCCATGAGATCTTTTAACATCTTTGTAGTTAGGCAGATGGGACCTTGGTATAATGTTTCGTCCGAAGGATGGCACCTTCAACAATGTAGCACACCCTAGCACTGCATTTCTGCATATCTGTCAAACATCAAGCACTGGATGAGAGCTAACTTTCTTCAGTTGAACATCAACAAGACCGAGGCTCTCCTGATTGGCTCCCGTCAGCACCTCCACACCCCACACACCACCTTGCTAAGCCAGTCCGGAAACCTTGGGGTCTTGTTTGACCCTCAACTATCCTTTCTATCCCACAACTGCGTCATGACCCGCTCTGCCTTCCCCCACTCCGCACCGTCGCCCGGCTCCGACACTGTCTCATACCACAGGTCGCCAAAACTCTCATACACGCATTCATAACATCGAGGCTCAATTATGCAAACTCATTGCTCGTTGGCCTCCCCAACTCCTCCCTCCACAGGCTGCAGATCATCCAGACCTCTGCAGCCCATTGTCCTCTCCCGCACTAGGCTCCGTGACCCTATCAACCCCATCCTTGCCCAACTCCACTGGCTTCCCATCACACAGACCCTTCAAGATCCTGGTCCTCACCTTCAAAGCCCTACAGTCTTGCTCTCCCCTACCTCTCCTAACCCCCTACCATCCTGCTCACTCTCTCCGCTCAGTGAACTCCGGCCTGCTTCACATCCCTCATCTTGCTCGCCCCACTATTGGTGGGTGGGCCTTCCGCCACTCTACCCCCACCCTTTGGAACTCCCATCCCGCAGTCCCTCCACCTCGCCCCCTCTCTTGCCACCTTCAAGACCCATCTCAAGACCCTTCTCTTCAACCATGCTTCAATCTCCCTGCTTTCCCCCCTGCACTCCATCCTCCCCCACCCCGACCCCCAGCTCGGGTCCATAATTCTGTCTGTCCAGGGCCTTAGGATGTGCTCCCGACGTGAAAGGCGCTTTACAAATGTAATTTTGATATTGTTGTTGATTGTCAGCATAGACAATGTGGACTCAAAGTCCCGTTGTGGGGCTTGAACCCACAACTAGGGGTTGCAATCTTGGAAATCCTGATCCTGGGATTCTATAAGCTAATGCTGCACGCAAATTCCTGTGACTTTTTGAGTAGAATCTCGGAATTATATAAAGGCCTTGCATGAAAGCGCCACCTAGCAGTGATCAACCATTTGGAGACCCTTGGAGTACCCTGAGGAATGCTTGGAGACATCCACCCAATGTGAAGGTGCCATATCAAATTTAAATATATCGGACGACTTTATTAATTATTAAATAAAACTTGGGGAAACTGCATTTAATCGCTCATTATTCAACTTAATTATTCACTATGTATTAGGTTATGTGTCTATTGAGAAAACATACTTGATGGGAAAAATCACTTATCTGATTTCATTTTTTTAAAAATGTTCTTTTGAGTACTATGCCATTTAACAGGGATATTCCTACTGTCTTTCCCTACTGACAAGCAATCAGCACTTCAGTGTAGGTACTTTCCTACAGTGGAATATGGTGGGGAAAATAAGGAAAGTAATACATTG